TGTGTGTGTGTGTGTGTGTGTGTGTGTGTGTGGTGTTTGCTGGGAGAAAACTACTAAGGAGCTGCCTGAATTCTTTTTGTTCCAGGGTGGAGCATGAAATAAAATGAAATAAAACATTAAACTCTGGTTGCAAATGTCAGAATCATTCACACTCGACTCTGTGCGGCCAAGTGCCTATGTATTTTACCTGGAGGATGTCTCCAAATTCAGTTAAGAGCAGCTGTTTCAACTCCTTCTTGGATAGTGAAGTGCAGTTCTCTTTGGCATACGTCTGGAAAACTTTGATCACATTGAGTATGCTGTTCAGGAGTTCAGCCATTTTGGAAAATGCAGGTTAACCTAAAAGAAAAAGAAAAAAAAAAAAAGATTTTGTCTGTGTTTGAGATAAAGCCCAGGGGATACCATTTCGAGAGAGAATGTAACCTCTTTTGGTTTGGAAAAGAAGCTTAAGAAATAATGGAGCCCCCTTTTAGCCATACCCACAGTCAAGCTCCAAATATCATGTGCTAAGGTAGAAGTGGTACAAACTGGTTTTCCCGCTAGAAAAGAGAAAACTTACTAAAAAACAACAACAACAAAATGTATGGTAGGTGCTTTACATGCTGTACCCTGAGCAGAACTTACAAGATTAAACTTTCATATCAGAACAAAACGGAAAGCAGTCGGGAAGCCCATAGAGGCATGGCCCGAAGCAGCGTAGTAGAATATTGTTTTCTACCAACAGTTAGCATACTGGAGGGGACACTGATTAGACCCCATCGAGCAGGTCCCAGTCTTCTAATGGACTTTTATTAAGCAAGGGGGAAGGCTAAGGGTCTCTCGCAATGATCTAAGTAAGCTCTCTAGAAGGCTAAATTCCAGCAAGTGCTTCTGGCCTGAATAGTCATCTGGGGACCCGTGTATAAAACAGAATCAGTAAATACAGATCTGTTACGGATAAAAATACCAAGTGGGTACGTAGCCCACTTCACTGCACAGGCGACAGGAAGTATATATCGTCAGTTAAGTCCATACGGGCTACGCTGGGAGGTCGGGTCTTTGGGGATCTGTAGGTCAATGGCATTTCCTCTTGTGGTATAAAATTTCCAGTTACTGGGTTTACGAGCTTCCAAACTAAAGCCCTGACTGCAGAACACATTATACTTCCAACAGCAGACAGTGAAGCCTATGAGGATGAGTAGCAAATAATGAATTGCACGGGACTAAACAGAGTCCTTTGTAGAGATTTGTTGCAATGACAACTGAGTATTGTTAAGGCTCCATGGTCCAGGGACCCCAAACTCTTGGGTCTTGCCTAACAGGCACAGAAGGTAAATGCTCCACTATGGGAGACTCAGCTATCCATGAATCATCTTAACCCTTAGTTCTGGGATGCCCAGTATATATTGAAGTAATGAATGGCCCACGTATTTTACAAGCTCAGATATAGGCCACCCTAGCTATC